AATGTAATGTGTATATGATCTGTTGTTCGAGGATTTGATGTTTGAATATTATTGTTTTTTTTAAATTTAATTTTAAAAAAGGGGCAGATAAGATGTTTTTTTATTTTCTGCTGCTTTTCAGGTTGTGATTTTTATTGTTTTTTATTGTGTATATAGAATTTGTTTTTAGTTGTTTTTAAATGAATAAAATCTCAATCAAAGTAAATAAAATTTTTTCATGTCCAGCTCAAGAGTGAGAAAATAAAAKATGTTTTACTTTGTGTGACTGCTGAACCTCTGCCCATCTTCACTGCTGCTGGTTTCACTCAAAATTTAAATATTCCGACTCTTTAAAACAGACTTTGATAAAAAAATGGAAAATTCAATTTGTTTTTTATTTGTTTTTTTACAAGTTTCCAAAGCCTGTCTGGGTGAGTGTTGCAGAATATAAACGAGTCCATCTAAAAGTCCTGATTTGACTTTTCTGCTGTGAAATCAAACAGTGCAGAAACTGAAATAGACTTGAGAATCCAGACTTGACTCGTTTTTCCACATCAGACCTGCACCGCCTCGCCTCGCTCTGAGCCTCTGTCCTCCACCTGACACGCAGCTCTATCAGTAACCTGCACAGAGTGTCGGAGTGTGTGTTTGGGATTCTTAAAAGGCCACGATACATTGTTCCAGGCTGCCAAGGTGAAAAGGAGAGACGGGGGTGTGAGATTAATTCGAGCGGCGGTATAATCAGGCTGCTCTGTGACTTCCCTGYTGAATAAAGACAAATGGCCTTTGTTTGCTGCAGCTCTGCTTTCCTGCATTCAGAGCAATAACTGTGTTTGATGCCCAAGTTACATTTGAAGAAAAACCAGCTCAAAATCCAGTTAATTGAAGAGCTTTCATCAAGTGATGGGACGTTTTCTTTGTCCACTAAGTAATCCCAGACGGGCGTGTTGTTCAGAGGYACAGAGCATCGAGAGGACAGCTGCTGTGTTTTTCATCAAACAATCATTATTTCACCTTCAGACACTTTAAAGAGGWTTATATTTAACTCTTCAAACTGTGKCCCCACTCCACACCTAGCAATTACCATTTTGTATCAGCTGTGTTTAAAACAGTTACCATTTTGTACCCATACACTGACCACATGCACAACCCTTACATTCACTGATGCCAGAGGCACCAGCTCTATGCGTTAGACACATTAGTAATGGGGCAATATTATGTTTTTCTCAGGAATACATTTATTAAATATTATACCATAATAAAGTATCTATGTCACCTTTAGCTGTTATTAAAATGCTGTTTTTATGTTTAAATAGAAAATAAACTTGACTTCTCATCATATCTGTTTCTAAACACCTTGAAATTGGCCTCTGTCTCTTTAAGAACCACCTCCTTCTGCTTCTGTCCCGCCCATTTCAGCACAGAGCCGTGGGGTGGGGGGGGGGTGCTCTGTGATGAGGAAGCTCAGCTTGGAGACCAGTGGCAGATGCTGGTCTTTCAAGGAGGGGAAGCTCAATTTCAGCCTACATCATAAAATGTGTCGTCTATTTATACGTAAATTCTACATTAAGTGTGTCCGCCTGTGAGCGCTTTGTGGCGGCGGAGGGGCTCAGCAGCACYTGCTGKACAGAAACTGAGTTAGAAGTCAGAAAGTGTGACAGAAGTCAGTCTCCAAACACAAGCARCTACAAAAAACAAAACAAAACAAAACAAAAAAACCCCACCAGAAATAGAAGCTTGATTTGTCGCTAGTCGTTTTTAACAAAGAAAATGCCACTTGAAGGATTAGGAAAGTCTCGGGTTCAACTCAGAAYAGAATGAAAACTAAAATGTTTACACCAAAACATTGCTGATTCGTTCATTTTTCTGTCAATCAAAAAGGGATTCAGCCTCAGACAGATCATCCAATCATCATGCAGAAGCTGAGCGTCCGAGCCAGCCTACTGCTCCATAGACCCTCAGAGACGCTGAGCGTCCGTGGGCGGGACAAAGCCAGCATTTATCCAATGACTCGTCTCGTTTCGCTGCACTCTTTGCTTSACTAATGAGTTATGTGGAAGCTCAGCGTCCGACTGTTTAAAGCTCTGTGAAGCTGCGGGAAAGATTGAGAGGAAAGCCGCATCGTTACCAGTGATAAGAATTTGATTCTGAAAAAAAAGTTGAGCATGTTGTAGCGCATATTTAGTTAATGACATGAACACACAACAGTATATATTTGATCACTTAGTTTTTTGACATTTTAGCAGTCTTAGAGCAATCGCCTCTGGTGGAGACACAACCCAGAGGAGGAGCTGGTCCCAAAAGGTGGTTCTAGTCCCAACCAGTGGTTTTTGCTCCCCTGCCTGGCTGCCTCGGGACACTACAGGATTTCTCAAACATGCATGAATGATTCAAAGACTCTGGGCATGTAACATTATAGCATGATATAAAACTTAAAAAAGTTGATTTTACATGATATTGCCCCTTTAAATATAAAAGAACCAGCTCCTCATCTTATGGCTCATATTATTATACATTGTGTAAAAATCTCAACAGGTGAATATCATCAGATGCTACTTTTATAAAACACTATAAAGAAGATTTTTTTATCATATAAACTTGGGGTTGAGGTCAGGGCAGCTGGCAGGCTGTTCCATCTTCTRCATTTGTAGCAGTGTACTGTAGGTGTTTATACTTGTCTTAAAGTACATGTGGCAGTACTCAATAACGTATGAAAATGTTGGAAATAGGAGAGAAAAAGCTTGACAAACTATTGGAAAGACTGCACAGTTACAAAAATTCGGAGGTGCGTGACCACGCACCAGGGTACCATGTGGGGGCATGGACAGTGTGATTGTATCAGCCATGAACCTGGCTAAATGTGGCCGACAAAACCCTGAAACCGTCAGCTGCATCTAAGTATCCTACATGGCCGACGGTATCCCAGAATTCAGTGCACCGAAATTTATTTGGAAATTTATCACAGACAGAAAAATAAAATTCAAACAACTTTGCTGAAGAAAGTTTTGTTGCAATGAGATGTTAAATTAAATAAAATGCAGTCAGAAGTACTGATACTGGAGCTAAACCCAAATTATTAATGCTTTTTTGTTTATTTACTTATGTTTTTCTATTAAAACTGAATTTTGTGAAGTTATACATTGAAAAAAACAACTGAAATGATGCGATATATAAAACACATCACCATGGCAGAGCTTGTTCACACAAACATATGTCTTCTGTAGACCAGACGGTCTCATTTCACAGCTGTTTATGCAGCCGACACAGCAACCTACAGACACCTAGACTGTGGACAATGTGGGCCGCGGTCTACATCGGCTGCAGCCCATGAATTTAGAGACAGCCTATCGCAGCAGGATGAGCTCACAGATGATTTAGTAAATTTCTCATGTGCACAACCCACACACTCAACTCTACTGCTCATCACACAACCTTACAAATCACTACAAGACTTGTTAACAAGAAGCCTTTTTACAACCAAACAATAATCTAACAAATACTAATAAAACTGGATAGTAAAAGATCTGGAGCTGCAGGTGGAGGTTGCAGGTAAATAATGTTCTGGTTCTCTCCTCTGCAGCCCGAGTCCCAACAAACTGACCACACCAAAGGCAACGGCTGATGTACAAAAATACATTTATTTGAAACAATTTCAAAATGACAGTTTCTTTACCGTAGAAATCTTAAAATCAAGATGAAACAGAACATCACTGATGATGCATGCATCATAGCTTCTTGTGCACTGAACATCACAAAGCTTCTGCTGTCTGAGCCAATCTTAAATCAACAAATCTGCTCCATCGTTCCTGATGGATCCCTCTGAGATCTGATATTTTGTGGCATTTAGGATATCAGATAGAGGTTTGCAGTGATCAACGCTGTGGAGATGATGTCTTTTAAATTATAAAACCTTCTTTACATCAACTAGTTTGAATGAAAGTAAGAGTGTTTGTCCAATTTTCCCTTTCATAGAGTAAAAAGATCCAACTGTTACATAACATTTCCTCCAGCTTTAGCTGTGGTTAGAGAAGCTCCAACTATTTGATGCTTTTCTTCTTTATTTCCTCCTAATCTTACTCTGATGATAGAAATCAGGACAGAACAAAGCTGCCACCAGAACAAAATCCAGCCGAACAAATAACCCCGGCTCTGACATGAGCCCAATCCGACAGAGCTGGAAATAATCTTTGTTGGGCGTGTTGTGCATGCAGCGACGAGGACTGCGTCGGCTGTTTGCTCAGAGATGAGAGCACTTTGTTTGGCTAATACAAACGTGATGTGACAGCTTCTACTTTTTGTGCACACTCGCTCACCCAGTCCTGCGACAAAACGTTCACCTCAGCCGAGCGTTGAGGGAAGGCTGTGCGCCGGATCTTCGGCTTAGCTGTCCAGTTTTCTCTCATTACTGTCAAAGCGGTTAGCCAGAGGCCGACGTGAGTCAATTCTAGGCCGCTCGGTGTTTGTGGAGCTGGAAAACAGCACTGGTGGGAAGCTGCGTGCTGAGAAAACAATTCTGTTTCATTTCAAATTCCACGCAGAGCCGAGGGTTTGCTCGTAAATGGGGGCTGATGACAGCGGGAAGAGCGCGTTAATGACACCGACCCCACTGTTCTGCTCGTTTCTACCATCTGAGAGCTCTGAGTGAACACTGAGCCGTTCCCCTCACATCTGAGACGGCTTTAGTTTAGGAAAACAACTAAAAACAAGTGGGAATTAAATTAGAAGAAGCTCTTCTTCAAAAAGATTTACTTTTAAATCACAAAAATGGTTTAATGATGGATTTTAAAGACTTGTTGTTCCTAATTTCAGATTTAAGTAGAAAAACATACTATTTAGTGCCCCTAGTTGTGAAACTGCAGACTGCAACCAACTAAAGGGTTCCTACAGTTTAAGGCAAATAAAATTTAAGACTTTTTAAGACCTAATTAATGCCACTTATAATRAAATTTAAAACCAACTTCACAATAAACACAAATGGAAAAAACTCATTTAGCAACAACTGTAGCCAAATATTTATTTTAAATCAAAACGAGCTGTAAGAGGCATTTCATCATTTTTTTAAATAAACAAAGAAAAGTTACCAATCATTGTAATATGTGAGACGAATTAGTCTTCCTACTTAAGTGTTAACATTTTTAAGACCTCTGAAAGATTGATTTAAGACATTTTAACGCTAATTAAAGTCTTATTTTCAAGGATCCACATGAACCCTGTTAAACGCTCTTTGCCATGAAGAAACAAAAAGAGCTTTGAAAATTAGTAATCTATTTTTCTGGTATCTTTATCCACTTGTATTTAATTATCTTGGAAAATCATAAATGTAGACATTTATGAGAATAAATGGGCTAAAATTAGCAACATGTGTTTCTAAGAAATGACTCAAATGATTTTACTGCGAAGCTTTCAAATAACCTGAATGTGAAGAGAACATTTTATTATGCCTCTAAAAATAATAAATACATTTTCTTAGAAATGAAGGATCTTCTTGTTAATTTGGTTTCTAACCCTCTTATGGACAACAGGGTTTATAGAAAAAAATATTTTTTCTGTATCTGTGTTGAGTTTTTTTTAAAAACGAGTCTGTTTTACTCAAACTCATCCCAATCAGTTTGTGTCCAAAACAACAAGAGTTTTAATTTTCCTGCTCTGTCCRACTTCATCCTGTTAAACTCTGATTTTGAGCTAAACTGATGAACTGAGAGGAAGTAAAATGAGTTTTAAGAGAATCTTCAGGTAAGCTAAATATATTCTTTTTTCTTTATTCGACATGTTAAAGCCTTGTAGAGCGAGTATTTCTGCATGGATTMAAATAACAGTGTGGACAGAGATACTAAAGGACAGCTTTAAAATAAAAGAAGTGAGGATTTAGATTAAAATCATCTTGGGGAATAAAAAGCAAAGTTTTATTTCAGTGTCATCCATGTCTRGTTTTGATGTGTGAATCTTATTTTTGATCACTGCTGCCACAGAACATGAGCTGTTTGTGCTCAGAGGCAGAATGTAAAAGTGATGTTTCAGCAGCAGGTCATGTTTGGTTCAAAGATATTAAAGACAGTCTTCAAGCTGAAAGAGTCTGGTTACCTGGAGTACATTTCTACTTCAAATATAAATATATGATACAGAATCCATCTGGAGTTGATTCTCTTCACTTTGTTTGCAGAGCAACTCCAATGTTTGATCATGAAGGGACATTCCTCCATCAGAAACTGAAGATGATGGAAGGAGGAGAGTCAGGGCAGGATGGGYGGGGCTTCTTGGATGGATGTTAAAAAAAAGAACTATTTACAACACTTGCTTATCTACAACACACAAACTGTGTCCTCAGAAGAACATGCACAAGTCAAGGACCTCAGCAAAGCAAAATGTTTCTGTTTCTTTTGTTTTTTTCTTTCCACACTCTGAAAAAACAAACCACTGTCAGACCTGACGTCGGCGCCATGACACTACGAGCATGTAGAAAGGAAGAGTATTTACAAGGAACAGAAGAAAAGATACTATTGTACATTTGGATAATATTCCCTGTTTGACTGGAGACTTGGACGTTATAGTCTACATGTAGGCAGAAATGATTTTTCAAAGCAAACTTGTCAGGAACGTACAGAACTCGTCACGCAGCGAATGAGTGCAGCGTTTACATCCACAAAACTGGAGAAGTCCTTCAGTGATTACAGAGAGCTGAATCTGCTGAGCCACACATCCACGCCAGTCTGTAGAAATGAGGTCTTTTTAGAAAAACTATTCACATCAGCTGTGTTGGTAATTACAAAACAGAAAGAGAGACCCCCGCCTCCAAACACCAACTGCTGCTTTTTACACACTGGTGCAGTTTGGGATCTCCCTCGTGCTCTCGCAGGCGTTTCCCACTCCTCCTGAGCACAAAACAGAAGAACAGTAAAAATCAGCTCAAACCTCTTTTCTACACTCCTACCTGAAACATGAACATGTAAAAGTGCTTYGATATGAAACATGTCATCATCTACAGCWGGTTTTCTGAGGAAGAACAGAAATMTGGATCTTTTGTTTGGTTTTTCTGGCCTGTAGGYCTCATTGATCTGAGCTCTGGTTTGTTCTGAATAACTAAAATAAAATCATCAACAAATTTATTCATTTTATTTTAATTTACTGTTATTTAACCAGGCAAGTCCCATTGAGATCGCAGATCTCTGTTTCAAGRGAGGCCTGGGCCTCAAGGCAACCTATTGTATGTTTTTAAGGGTGGGGGAAACCGGAGTACCCAGAGAAAACCCACACAAGATGAGGAGAACATGTAAACTTYACACAGAAAGACCCCAGGTCAGAACCAGGGATCAAACCCAGGACCTTCTTGCTGTGGGGCATCGGTGCTAACCACTGATCCATYGTGCTGCCAAATGCATTATTTTGTCTTTAACAAGCTTTTATCAGTCATTACTATGTGTCAAAGCTTAACYATCGTTTTAAAATCATTCAGACTGAAATCAGCTACAGACAATTATTTATTGCGTTTCTGGTCAAAACTGATAAAAAACAACATAAACTCCAAATCACAGCTGAAACCCTCAGTTTATGGTCAAATCACTGTGTGAGTTTTACTAACAGWGCTCAGAGGAATAAATGGGACCATAATTAAAACATTTACAACAACAGCATTTTTGTCACAAAATAAATACCTTATCTAAGGTATCTGTATCTAGAATACAGTTTAAATCATTTTGAAGCCTTTTTGAGCAGCAGGACTAGCAACAACAACAAAAACATGATTTTGAGCATAAAAGCCTTATTTTTTTGTCATTTTCTCTGTGAGCTAGCAAGGCCTTTTATTCAAGCATTTTTGAGGTTTCCTCTWCAAAATAACATCAATAACTCTTCATTAAGAACCTAAAAATATGATTCAGACCAAATCTTAATAAGTTATTCTGATTAAGACAAATCAGGTCTGAAACCAGTCATGACCTCAGGATCAAATCAAAGCTAAACAAAATCTGTTGAGGTTATTTAGACTGAATTTGACTTAATCCTCAGTTTGATGTGATGGCTCAAATCTGCTCMTATCTCTTATTAAATATGTTGTGAATTACTGGGTTCATTTGATTAAAATCTGCAGAAAGCAGATTTACATCTACCCTCTGGAATCAAACCATTTCAAGATGGCCACCAGAGCTGCTCARCATGAGCCAACCAAGCTGAGAGAATGACTCCGACACAAAGAGCAGCAGTGGTCCTCTGAGSCCAGGCGTCAGCAGCTAAACCTGGCCTAGCGTGGACTTACTCTTGACCCTGCTGGCATCCAGCTCTTTCTCCATGAGCTCTTTGGACGTGGTGAACTCGCTCAGGGTGATTTTAGGCGTGCTGTCGCCCTGACCCACTGAGCCAATCATCTCCTGCTCCTTCTCCTGGTTCACCTCGGCGTAGATGTTGATCCAAGGGATTTTTCTGCAAGTTCATAAAACAGGAATCAACAAACCACWGAACACTAAAAAAAGATGTTTATTTCCTTTGGAGTGAACTCATCTTGTGTTTCTTTTTACGAACCGTTTGAGAAATATTTTGTGTTTTCTGCTGCAGATGTGTGCAGGTCAAGGTTAAAACTATTTCAACTGCATTTCATCAATTTATTTAGTAACAAACCTAAAAAACATTGATATTTTCTGTGCGTAGTTTTTACCTAATAAACATCTTTATTTGAGCAAGATCCAATTTATTTCCAATTACTCTTGGTTCTGGTTATTAATCGCCTTGTTTTGTCAACTGTATGATTTGTTGAAAAATGCATCTCTTTAGACCGACAGGAGAAATTACATATCCATAATTAATGACAGCTTTTTCGATTCCCGCCGACTTTTCAACAGAATCATTTTGTGGATGAATAATTTATTCAGCAGATATGAGCCAAAGCACAAACACCGCATATTAAAGCGTTAATGGTGGCTTTTCTCTGCATTTTATGGCTGATTGCTGCGTGTGCTGCATACACTGAAATCATCAGGAAGTAGAAGGACCTTTGGCAGAAGCTGATTGGTCCAGATGCCTCTAATCTGYTCTCATCAATAATACACACCATACTGACACACATGTATGCAACAGTACATTATCATGCAGCGGGTGCAGCAGGTGGAAGTGTTCAGAAACCTCTTAAATTTGTAGATGAGGAACACAGCCAGACCCAGGAAGACCACTGAGAGGAGCATGAGCATCGCAGAGCTGCTGTGTCTGGGGCTGGAGTCCACAAGAGGAGCTGTGGAAGCATGCACAGACACAAATATTATCTGAATGTTTCTGACATCGTTCTCTAATATACATGCAGAGGGCAAGAAAACACACATCTCTGACCACACATGACACACACTGTAATAAAGGTTTGTTCATTTTAGTTGGAATAAATTAAATCTAAACTTGTTTATTATAAAATACAAATTCTGATGCAGAAAAACAAGTTGCTTCTTTTACTCGAAGCAACAAAKACAGGCCGTGCTTCCACTGCAGTGTCTGCTGAGCTGCTGCTCTTTAATGTGCAAACTCCACTCTTTGGCCCACCGCCACTGAGCCTGCGCTGCCATGCACCCGCAGAAATATTCCCACACACGCTTTTAGGTTCTACTCTGCTGTTGATGTGCAAATTTTAGATTGATTCTCTGCAAGATCTACAAACAAAAAGTCTTTGTCAACAAACTTTCAAATGTAAAAAATGAGTTTTGGTTTGAGTCCTTAAAGGTGCAGTCAGACCTAAATCATTAGAATCAGATTATGAATCACATTATTTAMACTTTACACCTCTAATACATTTGTTTATTCAAAGCTTATTTCTATAGCCTGTTTAAAATAATAATTAATTAAAGAACAGTGCATCATATAAACTCATTCATCTGCAATAAAGCTGAAGAAATAATCTAATAAAATCAAAATTATTTATAACTCCAGTGTAAAAGCTGAAATACTCTGCTAACTCATGCTGATCAGTGAGCTGTTCTTTCTGACAYGTGTGTTGAAGTTTAAAAGGTTTAAAACACATATGCCAAACTCAAAGGCCCGAGGGCCAAATGTGGCCCGCCACCGGATTTTATGTGGCCCGCGGGAGCTTAAAATATGTAATAATGTTTTAAAATAAGCACATGCTGCTTTATTTTGTTTTATTTAGAAATGTATTAATTTCATTAAAAAGAAAATAACTACCTACAATAAAAAATACAAATATACAAATCAAAGATCACATAAAATGAACGGTAGCAGAAAGAAGAAAAAAAAACTTAGAATACCTGACCCCTTTTATCCCAAGAATATAATCAAATTCTAATTTAAATTTTWAATTTAAATTTAAATTTTCAACTTCTAAGTGGGAAATTGCCACTTCCCAGTTCAACAGGGCTGCAGCACTTTTGAACCCTGTGCAGCTCCACCTAGTGGTGGGAGGCTGCTATTTTTGAGTAAAATGATCAAAATGCATTATGGGAGATGTAGCTTATGCCCCATGCTGTTTTGTGGGAATTCCCTGTTGGAAAGTGGGATAATTCAGAATTCAAGATGACAGCTACTCAACACAACTCATCAGTGAGTAAAATATGGGACAAATCCTGTGCCAACAGGAAGTGAATTTGAATAGCTCAGATTGAATTTGAATGTGCATAATTTGAAATTGAATGCATTGGTCTGAAAATAAATTTCACTAAATTGAAATTGAATTTAAAGTTTTGTATCAGAATTAGTTTGCTTTAAAACTGTTTTTTGTTTTTTTAAAAATAGCATTTCTGCTTTAATTATTTCACGTTCAGTCAGTTGTAAAGAGAGTACTTTTCTTTGTATATAAGAGGATGTGTTAAAATGCTGTTTTATATGCACAAAAACCACACAGAGTTCAGTTATTGTTTGTTAGTGGGGACTAGCCATTGCAATGACACAGGGAACGTGACAAAGTTAATTACAGCTTGCCCTTTGAGGACAACAGGAAWGTTCATGTGGTCCTCAGTATAAATGAGTTTGACAGCTCTGGTTTAAAGACAAAATGCTGAATTTGTCATCTGTTTCTTTGTTTACTAAAATGTAAATGTTGTTGGTTAATAACTAGAAACTAATATTCACAACCTCCCCTCCAAAACCAATTGGCTTTATCGCCAGCTTATTTGCATGACAATAACACCTGGTCGGGATGTTCTGCTTTTAATGTGAAAATGTCAGAATGTGTAGCAGCATGAAATTGTTTCTCTGCAAGTGACAGCAACAGCAAATTCACACATTTCAGGTGAATTTCAAACACAAGGCTGCAGTGAAGCTGCATATCTCAGTTTATCTCCTTGAACTCGTCTCATKTGGATGGCTGCACGTTTGTCTCTAACGTTGCTGGTGGGAAAATAACAACGTGCTTTCCACAGTTTCCAGGTTTCTCCTGAGAGCTGCAGCTCAGAGACGTGCTGGCAACCTTTCCCGTGCAGCTTCAAGGCTTTGCAGACCTTTTCTCAGGAGGTGAAACATAAAGGGGGGKGGGGGGGGCTTCAGCTGGGKACMCCCCCCCCCCCCCCCCCGATGTCATTAGAGCCACGGCACACAGAGGTACCATGTGCTGGGCTGTTAATGCTTCCCACCCTGAGCCACACACAAGTCAGGAGTTAGGACCTTTGTGTTTAATGAAAGCAGTCAGGCAATGAGCAGCAGCCAGGACTCTCTGAGAACGGCTGAGCTTTAAGAGCAGAAAAAGTCAAGTTTTCCAGTCAGCGTGTCTCCTTAAATCAGGACTGATTTAACACAGAACRTGTCTACATGTTGATTGTTAACCAGCTTTTCAAACAGTTAACAACTTAACACTGTTGCTGACTTCTTAAKCTATTCCTAATTCTGCCTCTGCCCTCAAATTGTACACCGTTCCTTCTCAAGGACTAAATAATCAACATAATTATCCTCAGTGCAACACTCATTTTGTGGTTGGATGACTGTATGAGAAATGGAACAGATGTTCAGCTTTTGATGGCAGGCATAAAAGATCGCTCTTGTCAAGGAGCGCCACTTAAAACCCAACTCCTCCCACACTCCACTATGTTCTGGTGCCGGGAACGGAGGCTGGCTGAAAGGAATTTTAATTACCAGACCAAAGAAAAATTCTTGTTGTCAAAACACAGTTATTACTGTTGTGTTTCCTGACATTGCCGAAACACAAAAAACTAACATCCATTTTTCTTTACCAAAAGATGATCGCTGACAACTTAAGGCTGGTTTTGAAAGCAGTGAAATAAAAAAGTTTCTCACCCAGTGTTAACTGTGTGTTGTACACAATGACTCTGACACCCGGCTTTAGCTCAAACTCCACCAGGTTCTGGTTCAGAGCGCTGACAATAACGGTGGATGCCTGTTGAACAAYAACACTTATTTTTACACACAGAACCAAAACTCTGAAGGAATTCCAACTGTTTTTAAAATCAGACAAGTCTACCTTCTCTAGCTCCTCCTCGGTTTTTTTCTTGTCCTCTGATTGGTTCTTGTTGGGTAACAAGAAGAGCTCGGCAGCTGTTGGAACTCCTGGAAACACAGCGRCCAAAAGCTGCTCTTCTGGGAAATCAGACACCTATCGCACCACAAAGAGATTTTATTAGACAATTAAAATAATCAGCATTAGCTCAGTGCACAGCGTGAGATAAATCTACACACAGAAGCAAAAGCCCAATCACTTCTTTTTAGTGGTCATGGTCTGCTGCAGCTTTGCCAGCAAAATATAAGCTTGTTTGACAGCTTTCAGTGGATTGACCAACACTCGTTTGTCTATCAAAGAAAGAAAATTGTTTCCGATGTTCAAGAACCAGTAAGGATCAAGCCTGGTATTAACTTGAAACCATGGAGGACCAAGAAAGAAGCTMCTGCTTCAAAAAATAAACCTCCAAGCTGGAAGGATAAGAACCAGTTTCTGAGCTGTTTATGACAGGTATAAGACCATTGTTTCAGCTGTTGAGCATGGTGGAGGTAGAATCATGTTGTGGCACAAAGTGGATGAAATAATGGAAGAGGACCTCAACATCCWTGAAGTTGTATAACAACTCCTTCCTGGAAAACCCAACTCTGGCTGATCTCTGACATTACCACCATTCATCAGAGCGTTACCGTTTCAATCTATCATCTTTAACAWACAGATGAGATTTAAATAAATATGTTGCCACATGAAAAGATGGTGCTGCTGAAAGAAAACAAAAACTCATGACCTCCAACTCTACCCCACAAGCGTAAACTCACAGAATGGTAGACATATTTCCTGGAAATCATTTCAAGTGTTTTCTTCGTCACATGGACATAATGCAAACACTTCTAGTTTTATAGGTGATGTTTTGATGTTAATTTGATATAAATGGCATGTTTGACATGTTCAACTCTATGATGGCAACATATTTACTTGTTTTCATTTCAAAAATAAGATGAAGCAAAGCTTCAGAGTCAGATTTCCAATAAACCTTTTTAAACAAATCAAGAAATCCTTGTTTTCTGTGTTTGTTTCCAGAACAGTGTGAAGCCTCCAGCTTTTAACAAGTTTACACCGGTGAGGCCAGGCTGAAGCTCGTYCACAATCTCTCTTAATTTTAGAGCCTGCCATGTTTTTATGTTTTCTCTATGGCCTGGGTGGGTAATAGAGCCAGTACAGCCAAAGTACATCAATTATCCAGCACAGAAATCACTATTGGAGCACCAAAGTAGTGGACAAATGATAGCCATGGGCACAWCTCGCAATGAGAAAAGAAGTGGTGAAGGGAGTGATAAAGTGAATTCAATGACAAAAGAGGCAATAGCCCCTGAAAAAAAATCAATAGCCTTGAACCATGTTTACACTCAGAGCAATCAGTCATTAGTTTAAACATATGGTGGGCTCATCTGGAGGGCTCCCTTTGTGATACCTCACAAATTTAAAGCTAGACACAGAAATCAGAGGAGAATGACGAGGAGTAAGAGCGATGGGAGCCTCGGTGGAGACAAGGTTACTGACTGCAGGAAAGACACAAATTTARTTTCGATGTTGTCTTTCATTTAAAGAGTTGAGTTTAAAAAAAATATATGATAACCAAGACTTATTATCTGGGGAATGTTGTCACAAACACATTAAAGACAGAGAAACACAATGTATAATGGTGGTAATGCTCCATTAAACTATTTACCAGGCACAATTAAACATAGCAGAAGAAGATCCCGAAAATATACGGAACAAAACAATGGAGAACATGACATCATGTTAAACAGTGAATTCTGCCTAAAGAACACATGTCAGTGCGTGTTGCTTATAGGTTTTTTATCTAACCCTTTTTGTCGAGCAATTTTTCTTGATTCAAAAAAGTTAGAGTCTAAGTAGGTGAGCAGCCTGGGCATCCTAGTCCCTAGCCTCTCCAATGCTAACACCAGCTTATCCATAGTTGCTAGCCTCTCCGATGCTTTTTTTTTTTCTCGATATTTAGCCTCTCCGATGCTAAATATTGCCTCCTGCTACAAGGATGTAGCAACCGCTGGCTGCCCAATGGTCTTAATTTTGGYCCTTATACTGCGTCATATGAAAAACGGGGTGGTTCTACAAATCCTTGCTAGTGGAAAAGCCTTGGAACCATGGAGATCTAAGTCAAGCCGTGCTGCAGAGGCTCAAGTGGACAAGGGGCATTAGTGGCCCAGATGTGGTTCATGCATGGTCCATCTGTAAAMCAGACCAGTGCCATCATTACCAGACCTGGCCCACACCTGGTTGACAAATCACTCGTTATGCCAGCAGTGCCCAATCTGGCCCACACCTGGTATGTGGGTATGATGACRTCACAGTCACCTGAGAGGAATCTTTTAAAACTACAATACATTACTCCATGAAAAGAATGTTGACATCCCTTTAATTGTTGATTTAAAAATACTTCTTTTTGTGTTTCAGTGGCTTCAGGGATGCAGAAATAAAGTGATAGTTTGATTGTATGTATTTACATCAGAGGGAAGCTGTGTGTGTGTGTGTGTGTGTGTGTGTGTGTGTGTGTGTGTGT